CTAAGAGTGTTTCATTTCAACAGCTGGTTTAGCAACTTTGTTAAATCATTTCCACCCTCACCTCTAGCTCCAGGTATTGTGTGATCCAGGTTTCAGGTCTTGCGGTGGTGACTCCTTTCCAACTTTTTTACTCTTCATTTCCATCATTCAGATTTCAGAAGGAGCAGAGAACAGGTACCTCTGTCCCCTTTATAAGTAGGAAGAAATCATTTTACCTTGTTTTTCACCTTTGAATATCTGGTCATTGAATAGGACGTGGGCCAAGGGGACCCTGATTATATCTATTGTTGCAGAAATAAGTTCTAGCCTTTAACCCAGACAGGGGAAGAACAAGCGGTACTTTAGGAATGGTGAGGCCAGGAAAGCTTTATTACTCATGCATGAGGTCTCAGACCTGGGTAGTCCCATAAGGTCTAAGCACTGGTCTAGAGACAAAGAGTTTCTTTTATACACAACCACTTTACATTGATAAAGTTGGTTAGTTAGCATAAAAATTCTTTTTTTTTAAGATTTATTTATTTATTTATACAAGCACTGGGGTACAGTCAGAAGCGGGGGAGGGTGAGAGAATTCACCAGAGCCAGAGTGGAGAGCAAAACAGGCAGACTTGTAACAGGGTGGTCCCCAGGAAAGGGGGAGGTTCCAGGTTCCCTGCCCCACCCAAGGGAGGGTGGAGCTGAGCAGGAAGAGAAGAGGCTGCAGAGGAGACTGAGGAAGGAAGCAGGATGGAGCCAGAAGGAGACCTGGAGGAGGTGCATGGAGCCTAGAGACACGTGAAGAAATTACGCTTGTCTTTTGGTCATGGACTGGGTGACACAGATGTGGGTGAGACCCGTGGGGAGGTGACAATGGCAGTTTTTGTCTTGATTTTGATTTTGCTCTTCTCCCTCCAGACTTGTGTGGTTGTTTCTGATGCTTTTCTGTGGGTCTCCACTGGAAGATAATTTAGACATGTGGCAGGCTTCGAGGCCTTTCTCTGGGCCAATCCTGCTTGGGTGGACTTTTACCCACAAGGGGACGGGTAACTTCGGGTGCTTGATTGAGAAACTAGATTCTTTGCCTTTCCTGTATTGTTTCCTTATTGTATTAAAGTTCCTTCCCATGAAAGTCTCATAGTTTTGTGTTGATGTGGCGGATGGCAGAACCCATTTAGAATAGGCAAGTTTGCGGGGTTTAGGCTGCCCCTCTCCCTACCCTGTAACAGACTGACGAAGTACACTGCTGAGGGGAGCAGCGGGATGGCAGGAGATGTCTGCGCGCCATGTGGGACCCGCGACAGGCGGCCGGGGATCGAACTGGCGATGTGCAGAGGCTACGGGCAGCTTCGCAAACCAGCACTCAGCCGCTGCGCCACCGGGAGGCCCCACATACAAATTCTTGGCACATGAAAAGGGGAAGGATACAGATCTTCCAGGATGGCCTGGGAGATCAATCAGCCTAGCAGGCTGCCAGACCTTCTTCAGATATGCTTATTAAGAAAGCAAACTTATTATTTACTTTACATTTCCAGGTCTATGACTCTTAAACAGGGAAAGATTTCTTTTTCTTAGCAGTTCTCTTTCACTATCTATAAATCATTTTGTACAATCTCAAAATGTAATTAAAACATTTAAAAGAAAAACATAAAGGGGAAGTCGCCAAAAGATGCCATGATCAGTAATCAGTAATGCAGAAGAAAGGGGGTGGAAGGTGGACAATTCAGATCAAAGCTCCTTCTCAGCTCAGTTTCACCTGAGTAGAGACTATTCCCTCTACATCATCTCTTTACTTGTTTCGTGAGGCTAATAATACATTACTGGTATATCTCTTATTTGGATTGCAAGACAATGGATAGGAAAATGTCTTGTAAAAATAAAAGTGCTACACAAACACAAAATGGCATTCTTCTGACAATTTCAAATTTGCTTGGCAGAGAACAAAGAGCTACATTCTATGAGTCAGTTCCAAGCCCCTGTCACTGGGGCCTGCCTCAGCTTACAGAAATGGGCATTGGTGATGCTGTTTCGGCTTCAGGGTCTCAGGGCAACAAGCTTGCAGGACTGACATCAATCATGCTTCTGGAGGGAAAAAGGGACCTCAGTGATGGGACTTTGGGGACACCCTCAGCCTCTGCAAAGGGACAGAGTACCAAGCACCCAGGTGGGAACTAAACCTTTACCTCTCCTCTAAGCCCAACCCCCACTCCCTAGAGTGAGCTGTCAGAGCGGAAGGAAATCAGCCTGGCCCGCAAGGTTCTTCTCAGGTTGGGTGAGTAATCAAAACAGCACCGGATGGGTTAGCAAAGGGGAAGCCATCCATTTAGTAGCACGCATAGAGAATTTGCATGATTGTAAATTCTGAAGGACAATGGAGCCAACCTGAAATATTTATCCCACAATTTGGGACCTGAGGCATCAGGGACAGAGAGAGGAAGACTTCACACAAAAGGGGTGACCTCGTCCTCACTCCAGGAGGAAAGACAAGATTCTTAAAGAGGACATGTTTACTGTGACCTAGAATTAAATAAGACCCCCAAACTACATGCTTCTAGGTATCTGTTCTTCAATTAGGGAGAGGTGAAGGACTTAGGACAGAAGCTTCTCCTAGCCTTCGGGACCCTCACTGCTCTCAGCCTAAAATAATCTGCTTTTTTTTTCAGTTATGGTAGCAGAACTCCAGAGGCTTACAGGACCTTGATTGACCTCTAGTTCCCTTTCCAAGGTGACAACAAGCTTCCTCTGGGCATATTGAGAAAGTCCCTCTGACCCTTTTATTTTTTTTTTTAAGATTTATTTGTATATGCATACAAGAGCTGGGGTACAGGCCAGAGATGTGGGGTGGGGGTGGTGAGAGGATTCACCAGAGAGAGTAGGGAGCAGAACAGGCAGACAGACCGAAACACACTGCTGAGAGGAGCAGCGGGCGAGTCAAGAGGTCTGCCTCACCATGTGGGTTTCTCCCTGGCCAGCAGGGGATCGAACTCGTGTTGCAGAGGCTGCTTCACAGTGTGGTGCTTAAGCCCTTGAGCCACCAGGGAGGCCCCCCCTCTGACCCTTTCAGAGAGACTGACCCCACAGCTCCAAGGATGCCCTTCCATCTTTAGAAAGGCTGGAGACCGATGCAATGAAAACACCACACCCAGTTCCACCATTTGACTGCCCCAACCACCAGATTTCACTGCTAATGCTTCCCCCAATAAAAAAGTGAAAACTCATACCCTCTAAACAAAAGATTTGCTTCTTGTTTTGACTTTTGCATTATTTGTTGAGTCCACATTTCCATTCCCCTTCACTACTGTGAAGAAGTGAAGTCAGAGGACATACCTATTTATTTAGCAGGTGGAAATGGAGGTCTGGGGTTCCCCACCGCCTCTTGGCCTGCCCACCGCCCAGAGTTCTCAGGAATCGTTGAGCTGATGACCCTACCTGAGCAGCCTCTCCCAGAGGCAGTGAGTCTTTGCCCACTAAAACAGCTCCTCCTGGCTTTGTATGGATGCCTTGTTGGGCCGAAAAAGCAGAGGCGGGCAGAGAGGGGCAGAACTCTGTGCAAACCTCCTCTCTTCATTGGTTTGCTCTGTGTGTCTTAGATGAAGCTGAGTTGCTTTATTTTGGGTTGATTGCCCAGAGCCTAGCGATTCCCCTGCGCTGAGGGGCCCTGTGGGTCAAGGTCATAGGCAGGGTTCTCTGATGATCAGAGTTGTGTTACCATTACGTCCCCTCCCCAAAAAACCAACCCTGACTCACCACACCCCCAATATCCTGCTTTCTGACCACGGGGGGCACTCACTCCATGTCCCAAATTTCAAGCCGTGGCTGACTGGGAAGGAACGCCTCTACAGGGAGTCAAATTAGATCCAAGACTCGGATGTGGCTGTGCAGTCTGAGAGCTCTGGTACTGCGTCCATTCCTGCTGCCCCCCTCCCCCATGAGAATTCCTATTCCTTATAGGGAAGGGCCTGTGGGGAGAGAGGGTGTAGCAACTCCAGGAAGGTACGTTTCCCAGAACCCTTGGGGTTTCTCCCCATCCCCACCCCTCTTAGGAAGAAAACTACTAAATTCCACAAAGCTAGGCCCCCAGGGAAGTGGAGAGGTGAGTAAGAGGGAAAGGAGCATATGGCCTCCCTCCCGAGAGAGGAGAGGGCTCCCTGGAAATTTCAGAGGAACTTAAACAAGACAAGACCTGGAGGAGAGAGAACTGTGGCAAATGCCTCATTGCCCTGAGGCACAATTTACCCCCTCACACACACCCCGCTCCCTCCCCTCATGCTCCTAAAAACATTCATGCAAACAATGGGCTCAGACAATAGTTCAGAAATTAGTCATCTTCCCTGTTAAGGGCTGCAAATCAAGCTTGGCCCCATAGAATAAATGGAATGATTCATTCTGCTGAGGCTGCAGGGATGGGCTGATTCAATATTGACTAAAATTCTCAAAGCTGCATTTGGCCCCACCCCAGGGACCCCTGCCTTGCCCAATTTGTAAGCACCCCATGATCACATCACATTTGTGTGGCTGTCACCACTCCCGGTGAGAAGGACCCAGTCCCTGAATGTGGGGACAGACCCCTAAAATGTGCTTCCTACCTCCCACTGGGGCATGCAGTGCACTCACCAGAGGTGTTCCCTGTTTGGGCACCTCAGGTTTGCCCTCTGGTGAGAAAGTGGACTGGCCCCACCCCAGACCCCTTCTGGCCTATCCCCTCTCACTGTACCCATAACAAAGCATGCCTTTGGGGATTCTGCTGGAACTATCTCTGCTCTGTTGCAGACCCTCCACAGCCTGACTCTGCGTCATTTCCTTCTCTAAGCCCTTCCCAGAGTCTTCTCTACAGGGGACCCCTTGAGCCTTCCCTTAAGGTGGCATAGTCCTGAGGGACATCTTTTGCAATTAACATCCAAGCACTGTAGGAGCCCCTTATTTACCCTCCAAGGTGACCATAAGCAAAGCTTCTGACATGGGTTCAGCTCCAAGCAGAGGAGGAAACAGAAATCACTAGGAAGCCAGGACACAGAAGTAGGTTTAACCAAAAAAAAAAAAATTTTATTGTACATTTATCCACCACTGGATTTGACTCAGACAGGCCAACTTTCCCAATGTATTTTCAGCCCTTGAGGACGTCATTGTAGATCATAGCCAAGGCCCCCAGGAAGGTGACGTATTCCTGGAAATTCACCACCTGGTCCTTGTTCCGGTCCAGGTCATCCATCAGCTTTGCAATTTCAGCGTCTTGCAGCTTCTAAGGAGTAGCATGGGAATCCTGACTCAGAGGAGAGAGACTCCTGGCCCCTGCCAGGCAGCCCTCTCACCTAGACACTTGGCTGTGTGCTCACTTGTCACTTGTGTGCTCACAAGGCCACTGGGGGCTCACTCTGCTCTACTTCTCTACTCCTGCTCCTTCACCCAGGGGGAGTGACCTCAAGGCTGAGAGTGTCCCCAGCCCCACAGGAGAGGGGACTGTGGGCTCAGAGGGGCCTGTGGACCAGAGCCCCAGTATGTGGATAAATGTGAGTCGGATGCACCTGGTTCCTCCCCAATCCTGCAAGAAATGGGAATATGGGGGGTGGGGGGCAGCTCACTCACCGCACCAATGGTGAGCTCCTTCTGGATGAGCTCCTTCAGCTCCTTCTTGTTCAGGGTATTCTTGTCACCCTCCTTGCCAGAATATTTGTGAAAGATGGCCACCAAGAGGCCGATGGCCTGGTCCAGGGGGCTTGCCATAGCTGAGGGCTGGGCTAGGAGCTGGGGGCAGAGAGGCCGGTCAGTGGACAGCTTGTCCTGCCCACTCACCCAGACTCCCTATGAGTACCTGCCTGAGCCCTGGGCATAGACAGGCAGCCTGGGCCTTGGAGGGGAAGGAGAAGGCAGACTGCAGCCAAGAGATCAGCAGCCTTAGGGGTACCAGAGGTAAGGAGGAAGGTGATTCAAGGAGCAAATAGAGCCACACCTGAGAACTGTCCCCCAGGGGTTCGGGAGAAGTTAGGGAGTAGAGAGGTGATGAGATGGAGGCTGCTCACCCAGTCCTACACACACGGCCTCACAGAGCCACACACTGCAGCACTGACACACCCAGGACACACCCTCCTGCACCCCAGAAGAGCACACTCTGGGGAGTCACCCAGATCAGATGCCTTAGCCCGGAGCCAGCCTGGCGCAACCCGACGGCTACCGACTCCCTGCCGGCCCTGGAGCGCCACAGACACTGCCCGGGTCCGGAACCAGGCGACCGGCACCGCCCACCAGGCACACTAGGGCGGCGGGGCGGGCTGCCCCTGAGCTAACCCAAGGGAGCCGGAGCTACCTGAGCAGCACTCACCGCGAAGCAGCAGCGAGGAGCCGAGGAAGCGGTCGAAGGGTTGGGCTCTGTTGCCAACGGGCCGCCCTTATAGCTGCCAAGGTCCAGGAGGCGGCTAGCGGAGCACCCGGCCCTCCCGCCCACGGCCCGCCCAGAGCCCCACCCTGGGCCCCTGCTTTACACAACTTACACCCCGCGCCCCCCTCAACTTTCCACGCCTCCAGCCCGGGGGTTGTTCCAAGTTCCAGCGGGTGGGGTGGGGGCACCTAGCGGAGGCCACTGCAAGCCAGTGATGGCGAGCGCCCCCTGATGCCCAGAGCTCAGTGCGCCCACCGTCGCGGCTCGTGACTCGGCCGGAGGAGGTGCAGGACGGGCACGGTCGCTCGCTGGTTTTTTCCGTAGTCATCTGAGTGCCAGGGCAGCATCAGGGTGTGAGTACGTGTTTGTATGTGTCTAGAAGAGTGTCCCCCCTCCCCCCAGAGGGTGTTCAGGGTCAGCCCTACGTGGGGGGAGGGGAGAGGCTGAAAGGTCTACAGGATATTATTGACGGGACCTGTGGAACACCCCTTCTCCGGAATAAAGAGTTCCGGCCTCGCCCCTTCTCCTCCCCCTCGCCTGGAATTCCAGCCTCTGAGCCTCGTGCCCATTACGGAGCACAGAGCCTGCGCCAGGCCCTGCAAGCAAGCTCTTCGCTCTCTGCGCGCTGGTGGGAAGATTTTTCAGCTCCTCTCCTGAGAGGAGGTGGGGAGAGAAGAAAGCACTGGGCCCCAGAGATGGCTGAGATGGGTTAGGGCTTGCAGCTGAGGCGAAATGGAGAGGAGAGGGCTGTGTGGAGGGCAGGCTTTCCTTTCTCCCCAGTGTTACCAGGGTGCCCTCCCGGGATCCCGTGACAAGTCAGATTGGCTTGCTTACCACGGCCCTTGGGAACCACACCCAGCAGCCCCTAGTGTCCTCATGCTCAAACCACTTTCCCCATTAGCTTTCTCTGCAGCTTTGCAGCTTCCTGGGAGACAAGCAAAAAGCTGGTCCAACTTCCCTTTTTCCAGAAGGGCAAAACTAAATCAAGTTAAACACACTGACAGTCACGCTGAAGGACAATAGGTGGGTTGAGAGCCCAAGATCCTAACACCCACTCAAGGAGAGCTCTACCATGGCCCACTGCACCTCCACCCCCAGCTAAGGTGGGCAAGACACAATCACAACCAGCCTCCCCACACCTGGAGTGGAAAATCTTTATTTCCTCCACAGGAAGGGAAGGCTGAAGCAGGGGCCATATAGGCGGGAGAGGCAGGCAGGGGACCCAGGAGGGCTTGTAAGAGAAGTTGCTGAGGTGGGGGTGATGGGGTTGACAGGGGCTGGCGGGCCAGCAGAGGAGACCAGGTCATTTGTTGTCCTCCAGGAAGAAGTCGTTGTAGGCCATGCACAGTGTGGTCAGGAATATCGAGTACTCCTTGAAGTCAATCTCCTGGTCGCTGTTTTTGTCCAGGCTTTTCATCAGGTCATCGATGTTGCTCTCTTTCACCTTCTGCCCAGGCCAAGTGGAGGGACAGCTCAGTGACCCTCAGCCCCTGCCCCCACCCCCCCAGTGCACAGTGCCCCACCCCCACCCCCCATTCCTGGGAAGGGAGCCTCAGGGAGATCCCTTGCTGAGTCAGCAACATTCTGAGCTTCTCCACTCTCCCCTCCCTCCCCCAGACAAAGACCTGGCACCTAGCAGGGGCCCAGTGACCCAACTCCACAGTCTAAAAAAATTGCAGTAGAAAGGCTGGTCCAGCCTTCCTTCCCCTCAACACTCTCCACCATCCAAAGAAATAATATCTAGATCTTCACTGCACCTATTAGAAACAAAGGGCTTATTCAATGCATGGCACTGGTGTGACCAAGTCTCTGGCTTATTCTGTCTCCCTAGGGGGAGATGAGTACTGACCGTCACACCGCCACTCTCCAGGAGCACATTCAACTGCCCCCGTCCCTGCTGGGACACTCACAAGACAACTGTGTGCCTGGCACCCAGTGGTACTTTCTGAACCTCTACTATCCCACCCCCGCTCCACCAAGAAGATGGAGAAAGGCCCGAGGAGGAACAAGAAGAAAATCTAGACAGATCCCACCTTCCCCTCATCACTGCATTCAGCCCCAGGTTTTCCACAGGAGACAGGACATCAGGACATACAGAGAAGGAAACAGCCTCTGTGCATGCTCTTTGTGCCCAGTCTGAGCTCCTGTTATAGCCAAGCCCTCCTCAGGGCCTTGGCCCTCCTGTAGCTAACCCCTGCCAGAACCAAGGCCCCTCCCTCCACCCTCATTAATGGAGGATACAGTGAGGGTGAGGCCAGCAGGAAGGCCAGAGGATGGGCTTGGTAACAGCTGTTGTGGTCCCTGCCCACAGGGGCCCACTCAGGGCTTCTCCTTGGGGAATCTCACCAGGATTTAGGATGTGACAGGAAAGCCCCCAGGAAAAGGGAAGAGCAATTCACTGGCTCTCAATACACCCACTCCCTAGCTGGGTGTCCTTGGACAAGTTATGTAACATATGACTTGACTTTTTTTTAACTGTAAAAATAATGCAATGACTACCTCTTAGGCCCTCTCTGTCGGCCTCCCCCCTCCCACCACCTCCATCTGGTAAGAATCAGTTCTGTCTCCTTCCAACTCTGTGGTCACAAACTAACAGAAACATCCTTTTGGTTCCTGGGTCAGCACCAGCTGAAAGCCCTGGAGGTGCCAGGCACAGAGGAGGATGGGGAGGGAGGCGTGACCTGGTCCCCCTGGCTCCCCGCATCCCCTATGATCCTCATACAGGCTCTGCCACTGTTGCTTGAGCAGAGCCCTTTCTCTACCAAGGGTTCTGTAAACCCTTTGGGCTGTACTCCACCCTCCTGACCCGCCCTCCCTCCTTCCCAGTGAAACCAAACCCATCCCCTAGCACAGAGGCCTAGACTTTTGCCGGCCCAAGATGTCCACCTTGCGTCTCTCTCTGTACCCATGGGCTGTCCTGCTTCTGGCTGAGACTCCATTACCAGAGAGCAGGTGAGTGTCCCCCCAGCCTGGGACTCTGTGGAAGCTGGAACTGCTCCAGACTGTGGTATCTTGGTTCCCGTGTTTCCTCTTTTTTCACTCCCCACCCCCAGCTTGGTGTACACAAGGAGCGACTTTGGGATTCAGGGAGGGAACAGGCACCTACTTCAGCAAGACACAGCTCATTCTTGATCAGCTCCTTTAGTTCCTTCCTACTCAGGGTCAGTTTGCTGCCCTCTCTCCCAGAGTATTTGTGGAAAGTAGTGACCATGGTGGTCAGGGCCTTCTCCAGAGGAGTCTCCATGGAGATGTGCAGCCTGGAGGGAGAGGTAAGGCCACATTCCTGGGGAAGCCAGGTCTGCTTCCCCCCATCATGAGCCCACCTCCAAGTTCCCCCCTCCCCCCCGAAGAGATTAGAGAACAGAATCCATGATGAGATCAAAACCTACCAACTGGTGGACCCAAGTGTGTCAGGACAGGCAGCAATGAGACTCAAGGAAATCTTGGAAGAGCCAAGCATGAGACTGACAGTCTCCAAAGGAGGAGATTGCTTTGCCCTGCTTGGTTATTGAAAAGGGGGCAACATGACCTCCTGCAATTATTTTGGCAGTTGGTGAAGCTGATAAAAGGTCAGGACTTTCTCTCTGCCCCATCCAGCTTGAGCCCTGGATTTTCACAAGCTGTCCTTAACCTTTTCGCTCTCCTTTGCCCAGGAGCCCGAATCAAATCACCTATAATCGGGGAGTGTCCCATTAGAGACATGGAGGACAGGGCAAAGAGAGTCCAGGGGTTAGAAAGGACTGGGGCTGAAACTGGGAGATAAGATCTCAACAGGAAACTGGGGAGAGGTGATTGGACTTGTCCAGCTGGTCTGCAGTGTTCAGAGCAGAGATCAACACATGCAGACTGGCCACAAGGCAGCAAGGAGGTGGGCTTTTTACATCACTAGGATCTTTCTGAGACCTGGGCCCAGAGGTTGTGTTTGAACGAGAGCCTCGAGTCCATCAGCACAGTGCACCTCCCTCCCCACCCCCCAAGGAAAGAGGGAGCTGGAGCTCCTATGACTCAGTCTCAAAAGCCACTTCCCCCTTAGGAAGGAAAGACGCAACACCCAAGGAACTTGGGGGCTGCAAATAAATCTACGTAGGCCTGATTGAGGACAAAGCTGTTGCCTTTCACCAGCAGCCCAAACCCCACTCCTATCATTCATCTCCCACCACCCAAAACCTCAGCCTCTCGCCCTCCAGGGGACTCATCCAGGACACAGTGGAAGGCAAAGGGTCCAGGCAGGAGTATCCTGCCTGCTTCTGATACCCTCTTCCAACCCTAGCACCACTTTTGGGGAAACTCCGATGGCCACACTTCCAAATACCGTGCCCTCTCCTTCTGAGCACCTGCCCACTCGTCAAGCCCAGCCTTCCTTCCTCTTTAGTGGAAGTCACCACAACACATCACCCTCTGGCCTCGTTGTCCAGCTTGTCCCACCATACAGATGAGCAGGGAGGTCTGAGGAAGGACTCACCGAGGAAGAAGCAAGCTAAAGAAGCTACACAGCAGAAACAGTCTCCCTCCCACTGCTCTGTGCCTTTATTCCCTCGCTCCAGTCCCCAGGAAACCAGGGGAGAGAAACGGCCAATGAGAAGGGGCCAGGGACTCCAGGAGGCCTAGGTCAGAGCCCCCTGGGACTAGCCGGGGAGGAAACCCCTCTGCATCTCACCTTCCTTGCTTCCAAGTGGAGGGAGTAGGGATATGCAGAGTCAACCATGGTACACACACTATCAGTCCTGAAAGCTTTCTTTTCTCCACCAAAAATCAGAACTCACAATAATAATGGACAACAGACTGGGGGGTGTGGGAGAAGTCTAGCTGCCCTGGGAGGAAGACCCAGGAGGTGTGGACCTAACACAGTCTCTCTCCACACTCTAGACCATTCTCCACAGTGGGGTCTCCCACCCACACATACATTGGGATGGGAGTCAGTGGGGGAAGATGTTCCCCGCCAAGGACAGGGCCAAGGTCACCAGCTAATATAAGGGTTTGGTTTTTGTTTACTCACCAGGCAATCAATTTATTATAAAAGGATATAATTCAGAAACAGCCAGATAAGGAAAATATGGGGAAAGGGTATGGAACTTCCATGCCCTCTGGAAGGTATCACTTTCCCCAAGCCTCCCCAAAGTTTTTAAAGGGCCTTTACATAAATGCTTTCTTCTAAACCTCTCTCATCTTCATGGGAAAGAATTGTCAGACTCCTAGAATGGAGGGCTGAGAATCAAGGGTTGGAGAGGGAATCCAAGGAAGGGTAAGGCTGAGTGATGGGGTACAGATTGTGGATTGGGAGGTGCAGGTTTGGGGTGTGGCAATGAATGGGGTAAGAGTTAGCAAGAGCAGCCTCTATCCCAGAGACTACGATCTTGTTCTCCCACCAACCAGTCCAAGTGTGAAAACAGACCCGAGTGAGGGGCTTAGCACCTATGGCTGCAGAACCCACGAGCCCTGCCTGGGTGCTCCCTGCTCCCCTCCACCCCAACTCTACTCACCCCCAACTGGCAAGACTGGAGAGGCAGCAGGGACTGGTCACTAAGCAACGGGAGTTTTCGAAGTGGAGAGTGATGCGGTAGTGATGCAGGTGGAGGCTCAGGGGAAGGCTCTCCCAAGGAAGATGGGGGATGGGGGGGTTGGCAAACTTTTTCCTGAACCAAAATTCAACCCAAGTCTCTATAGTCACATCTGAGGGAACATCTGAGTCACCTACCCCATCCCCTGTAACTTGGGAGGAAAAACACTGAGACGAGAAGGAAAGGGGCCACGTGAAAAGTCAAAGTGTCTTCCTGCCTCTGGATCTCATCTGTGCTCACCTCCTCCTTACAGGTCTCCATACATTCGATATGGCCTGGAGGTGCAGCCTCAATTCCACCTGAAAGTCATGCTGGAGGCCCTCCCTGGTGGCACAAGGGGTTGAGTCTTAGCACTATGAAGCTATCTGCGGCCACTGCAGCATGAATTAGATCCCTGGCTGGCCAGGGAGCTACCCACATGGCACACCAGACCTCTCCTGTCTCGCCCACTGCTCCCCTCAGCAGTGTATTTCAGTGGATCTGCCTGTTCTATTCCTCACTCTCTAGTGAATCCTCTCACCTTCCTGCACCTCTGGCCAAACCTCAGTTCTTATATGCATAAATAAATAAATCTTTAAAGAAAGATAGATAGATACATATATACATACATACACTGGGGGGTAGGAGAACTCAACCATTTCTCATATTCTGTGTTTGCAATTTTCCTTCCACCATCTCCTTCACTCCCAGCCTCCCCACCCCTCATTGTCCTCCTATCCCTTCTGAGCACGATTCCTGACTGAGATCAGAGACCAGGCAATATTCTGGGACAGAGAAGGACAATATTCTTTATTTTTTTTAGTAGAAGAACTGGGGTGTAGGCCATAGATGAGGGGGGTGAGAGGATTCACCAGAGACAGAGTGGGGAGCAGAACAAGCAGACTGACTGAACTACACTGCTGAGGGGAGCTGCGGGTGAGACAGGAGAGGTCTGCTGCGCCACATGGGTCCCTGGTCAGGATCGAACTCAGGTCATAGAGGTGATAGTGCTGAGATTAACCTGTAGGCCACCGGGGAGACCCAGGACAATATTCTGATGTTGTTGCCAATAGCCTGGTCTCCTACTCATCCTACTTATCGGCACATGGCTGGGAAGGATTCCTGTTCCCAAGAGTCTGAAGCCTATGGGCTGGGATGCGGTAGCAGAATAGGGACTGGGCTGTGAGTTTGGGACTGAGCCCTCTCCCCATCCTACTCTGGCCTCTCTATTGCCTCCCGTGACTCAGCTCTTCCCCTCGCCAGGGTGCCAAACTCCATTCCAGACCCCAACAAGGAGCAGATGTGACCTTCAGTCCCATCCCAGCCTCAGTGAGAGATCCCACCAGGGGCAAGGTGGGAGAGGTGGGAGGGGTGAGGGTGCTGGCCGAGTGCCCACTGCTGGGGCATTCCAAGCTTCTGGGGGTCCTTTTCTCAATCTTTGGCTCCATCCGACGACTACTCTATCACACACAGACACACATGCATGTGTGTGCACACACTCTCTCAGCACCCATACCCCTCCCCCACCTTCACTAATCTGCCCACCCCAAAACTGCTGCTCAACTCCCAGCACTCCCCACCCCAACCCCCAACATATCCCTCTGCCCCCGCCCCTCACTCCAGTCTCATAGCTTTTAAAAATCTTTATTGAACTTCCTCAGCATCATGTACATGTCTGGAGGAGGCAGGATGAGGCACTGTGTCCACCCCTAACAGGGGAAACACCAGCTGGCAGGCCCCCCACCCACATCTGAGGAGACTTCATTTTTTTATAAGGTTTATTTATTTATGCATATAAGAACTGGGGTGCAGGCCAGAGGTGTGGGGGGTGAGAGGATTCAACAGGGACAGAGTGGGGAGCAGAACAGGCAGATCTACTGAAACACACTGTTAAAGGTCTCAGCGGGCAAGACAGGAGAGGTCTGCTGCACCATGTGGGTCACCTCCCTGGCTGGGGATCAAACTCATGCTGCAGTAGCTGCAGATAGCTTCATAGTGCTGTGTCTTAACCCTTGCACTACCAGGGAGGCCCCTGAGGACCCTTCATTTTTTCCGGGGTTGCTTATCCGGGCAGCCTTCAAAGAACTCATTGCACATCATGGCGATGCAGGACAGGAAAACAGTGTACTCCTGGAAGTCCACCTCATTGTCCTTATTGCTGTCCAGGTTGCTCATCAGCTTCTGGAATGCAGCTTCATCAGTCCTTTTCTGGAAGGAAGAGACTACAGGTAGAAACAGAAAGGGAGTGGGCAGAGCAAGACTCAACAGGTTGGAGTGCAGGAAGGGGCAGCCACACCTCAGGGGCCCAGGCTCACAACGCCAACCCTCAGTGCTAAACCAGGACAAGAGGGTTACCCCTCGAATGAGGTCTGAAAAACTGGTGCAACTGGAAAAGGGGACTTCTGCTTCTCCCTCCAGGGTGGTTTAAAAATCCTATTAGCCTGTGATCATGAGAGCACTATCTAAACTGCGTAAAGTTTGATATGTATGGAAGCTGCGTGTGATTATTCAGGGGAAGTCTACAGGCGGGCAAGTGTCTTCACATCCACAAACCAAATGGAAACTCAAAAATTCATGTATTGGTGAAGGGAGAGCAAAAGGTAGGCCCATCATGGCTCGCAGATCTCAGCTTTGTAGGGTCACCACCTGGAGAATACTTAGCCTATCTCCCTTCCGTTAGGTAGTGCGAAGCACCTGGCGGTATCTAGGCCGGATCCTACCTGTTCATGCTCAGCCTTCTTTCCGCTGGGCTGCAGGAGGGGAGTGGCAGCTGCTCACTGTTTCCACCCAGGCACCAAAACAAGTTCTCTACCCCACTGGCTCACTCAGGGATAGATGCCAGCTGGAGCTGTGCTCTACAAAAAGACGGTGCCTCCCAGGCCTTGCGCTCCTCCATGGGGAATGCCAATAGGCAGCAGCCACTCACCCCCAAGAAGCTGGGCAGCTCCCGGGTCAGCAGCTCCTTTAGCTCTGATTTGTTGAGCTTGAACTTGTCACCCTCCTTGCCCGAGTACTTGTGAAAGGTGGACACCATCACATCCAGAGCCTTCTCCAAGGGACACGTCATGGTGGTGCTGTGGTTCTGGGGGCAGGGTCACAGAGCCATCCTTATCTTCCTCAGCCCCAGCTATGCATTCAGAATGCCCTCCCATCCCCCAGGGAGCACTTGGTGAGACTGCCCCGCCACCGTAGAAGGACCTGGAGAGAGGGGCCCAGCTTCTGGCAGGAGAATGTGCACGGCAGGAAATGGTGCTTTAAGCAGCTAACTTTGCAGGGCTCTGGATTTCAGGCTGCACCATCTGGGGGCCTCCTTCTGGCCCATACTCTACAGCAGTGCTTTTCCATCCCTCACTGAGTCCATTCACCCCGCAAACTCTGCCCACGCCAGCCCCGCCCTGGCCCATTCTTCTCCCTCCCAGCACTGGGCGAGGTTGCTGGAGGCCTGCCAGGGGCCTGCAGCGGAAAAAAACAGAGGCCTAATGCCTAGCATAGGGAGGGGCAGGATGAGGTGGCAGAGATGCAGGGGGCGGGGCAGGGCTGTGCAGGGAGGCCAAGCTCCCTGGGGCAAGAAACTGTTGGGAGCAGGACAGAGGCTCATAGGCCCAGGCAAAAGCCCAAGGTCTCTACCTTCACTTTGCTTCCTACACCTGAGTGTGCAACAGGTTTGCAAACACAAGGCAACATGCATGCCCACGGTCACGTGCACACCAGCACATACTACAGCCACAGCACACACAAGCCCCACACCGCCCAGACATATGCACAGCCAGCTGCCCACATCTTTCTTTTTTTCTTTCTTGCACACACATGCACATACATTCATGAACACACATCCCACCCCAAAGCCTCCGCATTCAAATCTCACATCTGGACCCATTTAGCACATCTGACACCCGCCAACCTCCCTTTCTCCCGATGGAGCCTGACACCCCTTATATGCTAGTCAGGCGGCCACAACTCACCACGCCAAGAGAGGAAGCGCTGAGCACAGGACTGCGAGAAAGAATGGGGAAAGCCTGCTGTCTGACCTATTTATACCCTAGCCGGGCCCTGCCCATGGCAGGGGACGGGGGAGTACAGACAGCCCTCCCGTGCAGACCAACGTGCTAAGCGCCACAGCCCCCTCCACCAGGCCAGCCCACTAACCCAGCCTCTGGCACCCAACAGGCACAGAGCAGAACCCCGGGGGACAAAGGCAGTGACCTCAGTGGGATGGCAACCCCAGTGGGCATCGTTTAGTGTTATAGGACTGGAGGAAGAGGTCTGGGACTGGAGGTCAGGAAAGAAGTGGTCCCACCTGGCACCTGAGAAAGGGAATCCTGAGGTGGTGGGTGAGGGCTGGGAAATTACCCTGACTACCGGAACAAAAGGAAGTGAACCCCAAGCTCAAGATGTCCTTCTCTCCTCCCCAAAGAGCTCTCTGCCATGCTGAATGAGGCCCACGGCATGAGCTGGTGTCTGGGGGGAAGAACAGGCTGATGCCCAAAGGAGGATGCTGGGACCATCCAACGTGTCAGTGGAGAGGAGTCCTGGGTGCAATAATGATGCAGTGGGGTGTGGAGTCAGGCAAGGGAGGGTGCTCTGTAATGGATGGAGAGGGCATGGGGAGGAAAGGGGTTTAGAGTTGGGGGGTCAGGAGAGGGGCTTAGAGTGATGATTGGGAATGTAGAATGCAGGTGGGGATGAAGACTAGAGGTGAAATAACCCAAAATGGGGCATGCAGGGGTCAGAGTTCACCTCTCAGGGTAGGGTGTGAACCCAGGGATTTGGTGAGGGTCAGAGGTGGGGGTTGGGGGGTGGGGGGGCGCGGGAGAGGGCCTAAGGCCCACAGGTGGTTGTGGTTCCAGGGCTGGGGTCTGCCTCAAGGGATCCTCTTGCCCTTCCTATACAGGGGAACTTTCCCTGGCAGGGAGAAAACAGCTAAGACACCCTAATCCTGTTAGTGCTGCTCTCTGGGCGCCCACAGCCCTGGGCAGGGAATAAGGCCACCAGGCCCCCACAGCGCCACCCTCCTCAGAACACCCTATCGGAGGTTTGAGCTCCCTCCCTAGGGAACCTCAAGCTGCCCTCTCCCCCTCCTTGACAGCCCAGAAGAGCTTCTCCCTAACAGACCCCAGAGAGAGAAAGAAAGAGGGAGAACTCCCCAGCCCCCTGCACCTTGTCCTTGTGTTGCCCACCCCCTCCCTCTGGACTCTTAATTTTCTAATTTCTTTTTTTTAAATTTTTTAATTAATTTATTTGTTTTACTTCATTCTTCATTTTTGTACCATTATGCTTTCTCATCTTGGCTATGTGAAATTCCCACCACCAATTCACCCGTGTACCATCACCATAGTCCCTTGTGCTCTTCCCACCCCTGTTTTGATCCTACTCCCGTCTGCCCCCACTGCAGAAGGTCTCTGGTTTATAGTTGCCTGTTGATTTTGATTTTTACTTTACTATAATTGCTTTTTTTTTGCTTGATGCCTTATTTGGATCCTCTACATTCCTCCTGTAAGTGAAACCATCCAGTATTTTTCTTTTTCTTTCTGGCTTATTTCACTGAGCATGACCCTTCCAGCACCATCCATGTTGCTGCAAATGGCATGAGTTTATCTTTCTTGATGGCTGAGTAATTCCATTGCGTCCCTCTGGACTCTTGAAAACATCTCATCTCAGCAGAGTCTGAAACTGCCCCCCCACCCCTCACCTCTTGTCCTCTAGCAGAAAAGACCAGAGAAGAAAGAGCCCTCAGCCTCTGCCCCAGGGCCCACGTGTCCTCTCAGAAGAACCAGACAAGAGTGACAGCAGCTCTTTATTAGATGTTAAGTCGACCCTTTCCATCAGTCTTCTTGCACAAGCACCACCTTGACAGCTTCAGAGCAGATCCCGCCTCTGCCCACACGGCCACAGGCCGCACCAGAGGCAACAGCGGGCTGCGCCACACCAGCCGTGATCCCGGGCACAGTCCCGGCACATCGCTAGTCTCACGGGTCAAACGGGTTACTCTATCAGGGGCAAACCTGGGAGGTTCCAGGTGGAGAGGGGCAGGAGAGAGGGGAGGGAGGAGAGGGTGACAGCCCACCTCAGGGCCAAGCTGGAGCAGGTCCCCAGCAGGCCCCTGACAGAGCTCTGGAAGAGGCTACTCGGAGCAGGGGGGCTCCCGGGGGCAGTTCTTGAAGTACTCGTGGCAATAGGTGCACAGGCAGGCCAGTGAGCGCACGTACTCCATAAAGTCCACCTGGCAATCCTTGTTGGTGTCCAGGACACTCATGAATTTATTGTAGTCACACTCTCGAAATTCCGTCTGTGCGGGGAGGGAAACAGATTGAGGAGGTAGAACAGCCTGGAGTGCACACACATGCGCACACATACATGCTTGTGCTCACACAAGCACACACCACACCTCTACATGCATGCACATGTGTGCAGCCTCGAGCCCTCCTCGATGGCCCCACCATCCCAACACACATCTGTCTGGGGGTCAACCTCAGTTACCTCTTCCAGCAACTCAGCCCTGTCAATCCCTCCCAAGTCCTGAGACCCTTTCTGAGGATCTGCTGTTTGCTACTGAGTGCCTACTCTGTGCAGGCATTCTTCACAGTCTCCCATTCAGTCCTCCCACCGGCCCTGCAAAGCAGCAGGTGCCATGGTGGTCATTCCACCTTACAACTGAGAGAACCGAGACTCCTGCCACATTGGCCACTCCCTGGCTTTCCCTCCCCACAGCCTAGCTACCACCCCTCTTGCTGTCCCCTGCTCTTGTGTCTCCAGGTCTCCCCTTGCAGAATCCAAGCCATGCCTCCCCAAGGACAGGGGTGGGAGGGGAAGGTGCCCAGGTGCTCACCGGGGTGAAGGTAGGCAGCTCCTTCTGTAGCAGCTCCTTGAGCTCCGCCTGGCAGAGCTTGTGCTCATCCCCGCCGCGCATGGCATATTCCTGGAAGGTAGTCACAATGGCGGCCACCGCCTGCTCCAAGGGCCTGACCATCCTCACTGTCACAGAACAAAGGTGTGACTCCCAGCAGAAACCCAGGTCAGTTCCCCACTCACTTCTGCCCCAGAGTTTCCCAGGGCTACTCCCAGACCAGCCTGAATCTCAACGTCCTTCCCACCCCACACGTCCCCTCCTTCAAGCTGCCTTCCCTGACCAAACCAGCTGCTCCTAATTTATTTCCCTATTGCCTCCCATGGTTATTTTTCTGGACAAAGTTCTCATTTCCCCAACATCACTACAGATCCTTGGGAAGAGAGTGCCCCACCACCCACCTGCACCCCAACACTGGGGTTCCTCCAAGGACTCCCCAATTCTATCCACCTTTTGTCATTTCTGACAGCAGGAAGCATTTGGCTCCACTCTGCACCCCCCATGAGACACAACACCCTGGCCCTAGAAACCACCCCCTTTTTGGACCCCAGGTTTCCTCAATAGTAACTTGCAGAGAGGGATTTTGCCCTAGTTCCCTGAGCCCAGGCCCTTGGAGAGCTGGACTTTTGAGGAAGGAGGATCAGGTCTAAGAGGAATCCCCACTGCCACATCACCCCTCCACATTCCATGCTCCCCCAAACTCAAGGAAACTGCATGAAAAGGAAAATCCAGGACCCTCTCCACCTCACTGTGTCATGAGCCTTGGGCCCTGTCTGGGTCTCTGGTGCCTCATCAGTACAGTGGGGTTCATCTAGCTCACAAGCCTAGTTAGGAACCAGAACCAGTCTCTAGAGTGGCCAGCTCAGACATTTACCAGTCTGACTGGCCCACCTGAGGACATCCCCCTGACTCCTGAAGGTCTTGGGATAGAAGGTTCTGCATAAGGGTAGCCTCTTCTGTTAGGGAGAGAGGCTTTTCCCAGAACTGTCCACCTCCTCCCAATTACACTGTCCCCTCCAACCATCCTTCTGGGAGGATGGCTCCAGCCTGGGGAAATCCTAAGGCTGCCAGGAAGGCAACATTTTTTCCATGCGTGTTCAGTGACTCACTCCTGGTCCCTCCAGGGGATGGGAGTCCTACAAGGCAAGACAGCCATGAGCAAGGCTCTCTCCCTGGTGATTCCCTCTCATCTCGGCCCTGTAGAGCAAGTGGCCACAAAGGCTGTGGCTGAGTGAATGTGGGGAATGGGCCAAGCACTGCCTGGGGTCTCTGCGACAGCCCAGAATAGGAGCAGGTTCTGGATTCCCAGGAGAAGAAAGAGAGACTAAGGAACCCCAGAGGTGCTCAGCAGGCCCTTCTGGGCTCCTGCCAGCCAGCCTGGCGCCTCCACTGTTGCTTTTTTAGAAGGCTGGTGCCTGATGACTAGAGGGAATCCTGTCTTCCCATGCAACCCTGGCCCTTCTCAACCCCTCTGCAGGAATGAAGCAAGAGGCAGGGGAAGGAAGGGGAAGCTAAATGGAGGGAACACCAATTCTATAACCCAGAGTCCCCACATGCCAGGACCTCAGCAACCCATACTCCCTGATCCAAACACCCTACAAGGGATCCTCTGGGTCACCACATCTGACCTCACTCATCAGTGCCTGCTGTGCTCATCCCTCTACCCCATGCCCCGAACACCCAGGAGTTAGGCTGGTTGGTGGAGCCCCTGAGCTGCCCCAACACCCTACCCAGGGCAGGATCCCAGCAGCAGGCACTCACCTCTGGTGTCGGCAGCTCAGCTATAGGAGCTGGGAGACAGGACATCCCTATTTGTAGCCTCCCAAAAAGGGAAGGGAGCAATTATGGAGAGCCCAAGTAGGTCAAGCTGAGGAAGCCCTTAGGGGCTCCCCTGTCCTCGTTGGCCCCTATTACAGGCCCCACCCACCCACCTCTTCTTGCACATCAAAGGCCCAATCTGGACTCTGACACCACCCCCTTCACTCCCTCCCCCAGAGTGGGGAAACTGAAGACATCTCCTTCTGCATGATTGGAGGAAGCGGGCTGGACTTCACTCTCTTATCTCTTTCCCCTGAAAAAGCACCCCAGAATACAAAATAGGGTCACACTTTAGCCTTTCTTGTGATTGTACTCCCAAAAAACCCCTGTGCCAGAAGGGGTTGGAGAGCATCTGGTTAAGTCCCCTCATTAAGGGTAAGGACACTGAGGCCCTGAGACCCCTCCCTGCCTCATCTCCAGATCATCTGGTTCTTGGTGGTTTTGGGTTGATGGTCTGTGGAGGCTTTTGAGGTTCAGGAAGGTGTGATCCCCCTAGGGTCCCATCCAGCTGCTGGGCTCTCTTCTGCTCCCCAGCACTGCGAAGGAATTTGGACAACGGACCATAAGGGCTGTGGCCAGAGCTCCCCAGGGTTGTCTCCTGGGGTGCTGGTTCCACTCTGCTCTGCACCTAGGCCACTGTCCTTGCAGTCTGTAGAGAGGGAGTGGGTTTCCTCTGGCTTTGAGCTTAAATATGTACCCTATTGGGTCCCAAATTGTGGGGGGTTGTCCCCTTGATTCCCATCCGCCAGTGAGCCTTGCGCTACAGCTTCTGCTTTGCTCATGGGCTGCTGTGGCCCGTGCCTACGCCCTGCTCACCTCCTAGTGCCTGCTTTCACTGAGATTTTGGTCTCATTCCTTATTGGTCCTCCAATGCTATGGAAAAGATTTTTCTGATCTAGCCTGCATTTTCTGTTGTTTTCAGGTGGAGCAGCACAGATTGCCATATTGCCAGAATTAAAATCCCTCCTCATCTCTTCTCCACTCCTTTTCTTGTTCCTTAGTCTAAAAGACCCCTCCCCTGGGGCCTCCCTGGTGGCGCAAGGGGTTAAGACGCAACCTATGAAGTTATCTGCAGCCACTGCAGCATGAGTTCGATCCCCGGCCAGGGAGCTACCCACATGGTGCAAAAGACCTCTCCTGTCTTGCCTGCTGCTCCCCTCAGCAGTGTATTTCAGTCAGTCTGCCTGTTCTGCTCCCCACTCTGTCTCTGGTGATTCCTCTCACCCCCACACCTCTGGCCTGTACCGCAGTTCTTGTATGCATAAAAAAATAAATCTTTAAAAAAATTAAAAAATAAAAGACCCCTCCCCATTTCACGGACAGAAAAGCTGCTACTCAGAGTGTGGGCGGGGAGAGCAGCTCTGGTTCCCAAGCCACTGAGGAGGCCCCAGTGCTCTTGGAGGCAGCCAGAGCATAATGACCTCACCCTGGGCCCCACCACCCAACCTCTGACCATGTCCTCATCTCCCCGCATACTCGGATCCTATGGGCCAGGGAAACAAACAGTGGGGAAGGAGAGCTGTGATTAGCCCTGTTTTATATGCAAAGAGTTATGGGGAGTAGGAGACATAAGTGGGGGTCAGAGTTGACCAGCAACTAATTCAGTTCTAGGTCAAGCAGGTATTCCCACCTATGATATGCCAGTTCCTCCACCAGCCACCTCCCTCAGGCAGGTCACCCCAATCGCTTTGGCCCCATTTCCTCACCATTTTCTCAGTCAGTGGTCAAGGATAATATGGTAACTACTTCATAGGATCGCTGTAGGGCTTAAATGAGTGGATACAGTGCTCATTTAATGTCATCACTGTCAGTTGCTGTCTTGGAAACAGCAACTCTGAGCAAAAAGGCATCTAACAAAACCCATTTGACCAGAGGCTAATTGATATAAACAGGAGTTCATTTCCTACAACATATTTCTGGTCACAAAGTCATCACCAAATTTCTGAATAAAGATCCCTTCTAACATTTCTAACATTAAACAATTTCTTGTATTCATCCATTTATTCATTTCCCAACCTTCTTATTCCAGCTTGGAGTCAAGGGTGCTGAGCCTAGCCCTGCGGCTCAGGAAGACAGAGCCAAGCCTGCACTGTATACCCTTCCATGCAGGGCAGGCATGTCACATGCACCCATACTCACCCTGATGGAGATGTGACAATGAACATCATAAGTGCATCTTGGGATGTGGAAGGAAACCAGAGTCCCCACAGAAAATCCTTGGAAGCCCAAGAAGGTGGTGCAGACCCCACCCAGCAGTGGCCTGGCCAATTTTTTTTCTCATCAACATGGCAACAAAATGGCATTACTCGAGGCCCTGCTCCAGTAACCAAAGCTCACAAAGTAAAGTACCTGGCACATGCCAGAGCTTGATAAATGTAACTGAGACTTGCTCAAAGTCACATCATCAATAAGTGACAGGTCTAAGAGCCATTCAAGATGAAGATAATATTTAGGGACCCTTGTCCTAGGCATTGGGGGGAGAGCCATAAACAAAATAGACCTCTCTGTGGAGATGACGGTTTTGGGGGGGTAAACAGACAATAAACAAAGGGGGGCTGAGCTAGTAAGGTCAGTGCTAGAAAGAACAATAATGCAGGACAAAGGAAAGATGTTGGTAGGGGACCCGAGAAATTTAGATAGTGGCCAGGAAAGAGTGGGGCCACGCAGCTCCCCAGAGAAGAGTCTCACCTGCCAGGCTTTCTTGTAGCTCATCCTAACTGTACCTCCAGGAAAGCAGCACCTTTGTGAACCCATAGGGAGGGGCTGCCACCATGAAGGCACAGGAGTTCACTCAGAGACAATAGCTGAGGGTGGAGGGCGGAGAGGTCCGGGTGTAGGCACACTGGGGGTTGGAGGATCGTCATCATGAGGCGAACCCTTCACTGAATGGACCCTCACTCCAAACCCCACCATGTTCTCGCCTCCTGACCTCCCACATGTCCTTTATCTCATTTGGGGCTTCATGGCCTTACTTCCAAGATGGGTTTGGGGAGAGGCCTACCAGAGACCCCAGCTGTGCTTGGCACCACCTAGCAGGACTGTGGAGATGTGAGGGCAGAGGTCTCTGAGAACAACTCAATGATTGGCACTCCTTCCCCTCCCTGGAGACAGCTGGGAGAGAACCAGGCCCTCCTCTCCAGGTCAGTTTACCCAGGTGAAAAGCTGCAACCTCCCTTCCTTTGCTCTCCCAAGTTTTGAGATTGATTGGACTCTTCCTGCCCTGCTGGAAGCAATAACCCGGATCCCCCTTTCTGCAGTGATTCCATATGCTCAGAGCCCCCAAGGCCCCACCATCTTCCTCCCTTTCCACCTCTGCTGTGCTCACACTCCACTTGCTACTTGGCCCCTCCCCAGAGCTCCCTGCAGATGTGTGCTGACTGCTGAGGAGTGCACCCTGTCTGGAGGGTGAGGAGCCCCCTCCCAAGAGGAGCAGCGTGAGAGGTAAGTGCAGATGCTATTGGGTCTGACAGGACTTGCCACAGCGCTGACCTTCCCCCACCCCCCACTCCCTGCCACTGTCAGCACCAGTGCCTTACAAAGGCAAGTGCCCAAAAGTCAAGTCTTAGAGTCTGACTCAGTTCCTCAGGGAGGAATCATATGAAATTCCTAGAACACCTGGATGTGTCATGTGCTTGTGCTGAAAGGCCTGGGTATGAGAGACTGATAACCCCATTCCCAACCAACCCTGTAGCTCAGTGGGACCACGAACCTAGTCGCACAGAGGGATTCCCCTCTTTTCTCAGCATCTGAGCCAGGTGTGGGGAAAGTGTGGGAAGAAAGTTTGATTTCTGGGTCTAGGGCTGAAGCTAGAGCCAGGAAGGCCTTTGCTACAGAACTGGGGGCTTGGAGGTGGGAAGAGCATCTGAACTAGGACCAAGTAGGCCTTAGACCTCCCACCTCCTTTGACAGCTAAGGCATTTCCCCATTTGCCCTTTTCTGAGGTGGGAGCAGTGAATCAAGAGGAGATCAAGTGACCTTCCACTGAGAAAATGGGGAGCCCTACCCAATCACTGAGCCCATCTCATTTCCCACCTTTCCCTTCATTCTCTTGCTTGGAATGTCAACAGGCTGCCAGAGGTTGACCCAAAAGAACAAAGACCAAAGTGACAGTGGGACATGTTGGGAGGTAGAGCTGTGTTCCTGAGGCCCTCCTGGGGGCAATCCCAGGAGTGAATGAGAGCCCCTGGCCAGCAGTTCTCTGAAGGGTGCATTTTCTGGACCCTCCTGCTCTGCTTTCACACAAAGATTTGGGGGCAGGGGTGAGATAGGAAGATAGCTGGGACCAGCTAGGAAAGGCTGGTATTTATTAGTTTGTCAAATACACAGAAGGAAAAGAAATCAGCCTGGATCGGTGCTTAGCCAGATGAGGCAAGTGTCCCCCCGCCAGATCATTTCCATTACCCAGAACTGAGCCCCAGCAGAAGCCAGGGCCCATCATGAGCAGTCAGACTACAACAGCCCACCACCAGCATGGGCCGCTCCCCGCTGATCCAGGGTTGGGAGACCAGAGCATCCGACTCTGCTCACCCAAGTCCCCTTCATGCCCCACAAAGCATGGGCTTTGAGATGAGGGGGAAAGGGGAGGGACACCCAGATTGCCAACCTCAGGGCCCATAGAAGTGTGGCCTCTTCTTGCAGCCATGGGTCAAGTACTAGCACTGCTCCTTATTTAACCTCCCCCAGTCTCTAGCTCCTCGTCTGTGAAGTGCAGAAACTGATAGCACATCGCTCATCTAATTGCTGTGAGGATTTAATGGGAAGATGCTTGCACAGGCCCCACGGAGAGCCTGATGGGGGTGGGGGTGGGGTACTCCATTAATGGGAGATGGGGCTCCCTCTCGGTTTCCTCATCTGTAAAAAGGCCCTAATGATACTCCTTTCAGAGTTACCTGAGGCTGAAATGACAGTGTAGAGGAAGGAGTTTTGAGAAATGCTGCGGAAATATTAATTACCCCTATCGTGATTTCTTGACCTATATTCACTGG